AGAACTTGCCACCATTTTTCTCAGTAAATATATTTGTAGAGGTGCTGTTGACAGGACGTTTTCACCAGATGTCCGTGCAATCCCTGCAATCCACGCATACAAAGACATCTAAGATCATAGATGTCATCAAATTTATAGGTAATAAAGTGAAATGATACAGGGAACAAATATTGAACACAGTTACTGAGATTTATAGATTTTCTCCTGTATGGAGAAATGACTCGCTTGCATTGCTCAGGTGTGATTTTGGCCCATTCTTTCACACAAACCGCCTTCAAATCTTGAAGTTTTCATGGGCCTCTTCCATGAACTCTGATCTTTATTAGACTTTCTCTAGAAGCAAGTGTTAGTTCTGGTTCTGCTATGTGAGGAAATCTAATATTTTCATCTGCTTCTAGCACCTTAAACGCATAAAAAGCAGGAAGAATCGCTGGTCGATCAGCATTCTATAACTATATGATGGTGTTTGTTGGAACTTTCAGGAATCAGTTTGGACGTCTGCAGATGTCACCCACTCAGGTGCACTGGGTTCCCCTGCTGGAATGTTTGGCACCAGTTTATTCTAATGATAAACGACCCGATAGAACAAAGCTAACTTGATCACACCAAACTGACCCCATGACATGAATCTATTCTGACCTGATGTTCGGTCATTCCACTGAACTAAACTTTACTGAGAATTTCAAAGCTGGATATATGACAATAAAAGTAGAACTTAAGGGTTTGGTTTTGTGAACACAGTCAGGGTTCAATACTGACCCTCACCAGCACCCTTACAGCATTGATACCGTAAATCTGGGTGAAATGTCCTACCTTTGGTCTCATGTTTCCTCCAAGTCCTTCTTGCTGAATCACACTCAAATGGATCCTTTCATGATTAAGGATGAGGTTAAAGGTCACAGAAAGGTCAGTTCAGAGGTAGAGACATAAACCAGACTGAGTTCAACTTCAGAGAAAGCCGACAGCTTTTTATTAAAGTACTGAAACAAATGTTTGACCCTCTTGATCTATCCTCCTCTGTTATTTATGCTCAGATTTAAATGCAGCTTCTTTTCATTGCAGGAGATAGAATAAAAATGAAAAAAGCATCAGGAAACTGTTCTCCAGTTAGTGGCTCACATAAAACAATGAAAACTGAAGAAGTAATAAAGCAGGACAAGATAGAAAGGTAATAAATGGATCAAATGTTCAGATGTTCCAGCTGCAGACCAGGAAAATCCCCTCAGAGAATTTCAGCATCTCTACCAAATCTCCTCCGTATATTCGTGCTATTGTTATCCCTCTCTGGCCCAATCCAGCCTCTCAGATCCATTCGTCTCTGCAGGTATCACAGCAGTGTCCGTGCATGTAGACTAAAGGTGGGATTTGTTCGATGACCTGCCAGTCCTCAGAATCACCCGAAGCCATTGAGGACGACAGAGGAGCCGACGACGGCGCCGGAACCGAGGAGTCAGACGAGAGCCGCGTCGCCTCGGCCATGAAGGAGCTAAGGAAAACAGGTGGGAGGAAGAGCGTCCTGCTGAAAGTTCTCCAGATCTGCTCATTACAGGAATGATTCATTTTGACATTTGTCCGGTTTTTCTGGGTAAAATCCTCCAAATGAGTTACAAACTGAAATCTTTATACTGTAATACCTGCTCCACCGAGCTCCACCTCAGACCCTTTCAGGTCCATGGAGGTACTGAATAGGGGTCGCAAAACTTTTGGTTGATTAGATTTTTTTTATATTCCCCCCTGCAATTTTTTCCACTAATTGAAATGTCTTTAAATCCACATTAACATGAATTCAACACACTGTAGTAAACAGATAAATGGAGGCAGAAGATGTCATTCAGTCATCAATGCACACATTCAGCGACACACAGGAGCTCTTTCAAGCTGGACACCGTTTCATTCACAACACCTGTCCCATCAACCAGGAATCACAATCAGAAATACTTTAATAATCCCAGGGAGGAATGACTTTAGTTACATGACTCCATCTGTAATAGAGGGACTATAGGACCAGTTTCCAACACAATTTCCTACAATATATATAATTAGGGGGTCCCTGCTACAGCTCGCCATCAGTTTGGGGTTCCTTGCCCTGGAAAACGTTTCCCTTTGGGCATTTTGTCGTCCCATACCACAAAGTATCGCTCTCAGTCAAAAGTATTGATGATTGTCCAAAAGTGGAACATACAATAACTGATTATAGAACAAAAATTATGTTACTTAATATTTTAATTTGAACAACTTAGGTATTTTATTATTTTCATCTCAAATAAAAACAAAAAAAAAATGTTGTTTGAAAGTGGGTAAATTGATTGAAATAAATACAAAATCAAATCATATTATAATCAATTCATCCCGGCTCGGACTGGCGTTTTTCCATCTACACCCCCGCGAAAAAAAATAAATAGAAGCACAGTCAAACGCGTGCGTCTCAAATGTGAAACACAATACGAATACACATTGTGGATTAACCGATCTAGTTCCAAGCATCACATGACAACCATCACCCAGACTTCTATAATGCGGTTTTACTGGCTTTGGTTATTAACACGGACGCGACAGTGACTGCTGCTGCGTAATGTTCACACTCACCACATCAGCAGGGTTGCCAGATGTCACTGACTCACGTTTTCCGGCCCAAAAAATGTTCATAAACCGCCTGGATCTACGAAATCTCGCCCAATTTGAACCAAAGTCTATTGATCTCTCAGGCCATAAATCTAAAGAAAATTTTTTTTACCCATAGTCGGCCATCCTAAACTGCCAGATTGGAAAACATCCCAACCTGGCAACAATGCACAGAAGACGGGAAACATTAGCATTTAGATGCAAAATCTCATCATGCACTGCAACAAATTTCTGGAAAAATATTAGAACATAAACTTGCCAAATATAAGAGGAACATTGTAGTTTAGTTTAAAGAAAGCATTTTAGTTTTATTATAATTTCGTTAGTTGCAAGGATTTTACAGTTTGAAGAAATAGAAAATGACACCATATGCCAACCGTCACAAGTAAGGGCTATATATACTGCATGCATCATTTAGGTAGTTAGCCAGAGAGTATGTGTTGGTATGATTTAAGAGGAACTGGCCCTCGCACGCTGAAATTAGGACCAGCCCACCTGGCAAATGGCCGCTATCACAGATTAGCAGTCCGAGCCTGAATTCATCCATCCATCCATTTTCCATCATGCTTATCCCAAGTGGATAAGCTGGTGCCTATCTCCAGCTGTCTATGGGCGAGAGGCGGGGTCCAACCTGGACACGTTTCCAGTCCATCGCAGGGCAACACCAACAAACAGGATAAAAAACCCATTCACGCACACACTCACACCTAAGGAGGATTTAGAGAAGCCAATTAACCTAACAGTCATGTTTTTGGATTGTGAGAGGAAGCCGGAGTACTTTGAGAGAACCCACACATGCACAGGGAGAACATGCAAACTCAATGCAGAAAGGCTGGGAATCGACCCGCAAACCGTCTTGCTGCCACTGAGCAGTGTATTTATAAAGCGCCACTTCATAACACATGTTATCTCAAGGTACTTTACAGAGACAATTCAGCAAAATCCTAGTCATAGTCAGATGTGTTCAAAGTTTTCTATCTAAACCTGTATTTATAAAACTGGAGCTCCCCTGATTAACTCCCTTATAAGCACATTTAAACTTGATTAGAGCTAAATGCAGAGCAAAAATTAGACTGACTTAATTATTAATTTTCATCCAGACACCTGAGCTGCTTTCATGTGTTCAGATATCTCAGTGTGAAAAACAGCTGATTCCAGACTGTTCTCTACATCCAGGCTGTTCCTCTGCTTGGTTTGGATGTGTGTCAAAGGCTCGCATGTGCAACTTTTAACCAGAGTCAATGGGCAAACACTGGAAAATGGAAATGTAGATAAGTCATTTTTTTTCTTAAATTAAGTGCACTTGTTCTTGGATTGAGGAGGTAAAAGAGACATTTTGCCAATGATACAAGAAAATTTGCATTTAAAATAAGAAATCACAATTCCATTGTCTTACTTAGAGTGCATATTATCTAATAAACTTATTTTAAGAATAAAAAAACTAATTCCATTGGCAAACCATCTCATTTACCGACTCATTTCCACCCTACTCCTTAGGGTGGAAATGCGTCACCAATCCGACGAAAAATGAAATGACGCTTTACTAGTCATTAAAGATTAAATATTTACTTTGCACATCTAAAAAAATATATATTAATATATTTCAAAATACTTTTAATTTAAAATTAAACTTAAATTATAAAAATATATATATATACTTTATTTTTATGTCTTAATCAGGGTCATTGGGTGGGTGGGGCAGTGCCCTAGCGCCCTCTATTGGCCAGCTGCCACTGCTCAAAGCTGAAACTGAACTCAAACATATAAGAAAAACGTACTTTTTGGTTGTTTAATTTTTTCTATTTGGTCCTTAGAAAGCAAAATAGATCCCAGCCCTATTTAATTTTACTGCCTAAAGCCGGGCTTACAATGTGCGATTTATTTTTATTTTTTTGCCCTTTTCGGGCCGACTTTCCAGTCGTGGGGGAATTTTCAAATCAGGCTAACTTTTAGCCTGATGGTGCGTCCTGTAGTGTACAGGGGGTAACAAGATCAGGCTCTCATGACCACCTACTGATCAGTAATCATGAGGTCGGGAGAAAATCAAACATGTTTGATTTTCAGTCGACCATCTTGGACAAATCGTTCAGTGCGCAAACAAGGATTCTTCTTCTTCTCAGGCAAAAACACAGTAGCATGGTGGGGGAGAGAGATAAATTGAGTTCTTTCTGTATAATTGACAGACTGTAGTAGCCACATTTGCTCAGCCATGTCTCTGTCCAAATACGTCGTTGCCTTTTCTTTTTAGGGATTTCAGCACAAAACTGCACAAATTGTCAAGGCAGCGCGTTTCACTCGAGTGAGCTTCGTATTCCTCCTCTACTCATTTGGCTTCCTGATAGACAAGTCCGAGTAGCGTCACCTCACCGCGGAGCCGAGTCCCACGTGGTTTTTAGACATACAGTGTGAGCAGTTAGATCGCATCAAAGCGTTGGGTCGCACATACATCGTGAACGTCGTACAGTGTGAGCTGTAGCTGCGTGCAACGATTGAAAAATATCGCTTAACCCCACCTAATAAAGAAAATATTTTCATCTACCCTTTGCAATGCACACACGGACCACTAGGGGTACGAGTTTTCCCGGTTGGGAATCACTGCTCTATTACCAACCAGGAAATAGAGTCCATCAGCCCAAGAGCTGAACCTTGCTCCAAACCGGGTCAGCAACAGAACAATGAACCCAACCAAAGCAGCAGATCTACTGTAGAACGGCTTCAAGTGGTGTAGTCAAAGTCCAGAACTCGGCCTGATAAAATACAGGAGGGATAGTTTCAGAGAGCAGCTAAAGGTTTCATTGATTACAGGAACCTGCAGATAGCTTTGGTCCAGCTGAACCAAGGTCAACCAATCAATGGCTCCTTAGTGACAGCTGTGTTTTCCATGGGTTAGATGTTGTGGAGTTGCTGCAGGTTCTGATTTCTTCCCGTCTCTCTGCCTTCAGGCTGGTACTGGGGCAGCCTCACGGCCAACGAGGCCAAGGAGATCCTGCAGGACTCCTCGGAGGGAACCTTCCTGCTACGGGACAGCTCCCAGAGGGATTACCTGTTCACCATCTCCGCCATGACGTCCGCGGGTCCCACCAACCTGCGGATCGAATTCAGACACGGAAAGTTCAAGCTGGACTCGGTGGTTCTGGTGAAGCCCAAGCTGAAGCAGTTCGACAACGTCGTCCACCTGGTGGAGCACTACGTCCAGCTGTCCAGATCCAGCAGTAAGGTGGCCCCGGCGGCGGCGGCAGCGGGTCCTAACGGCACCGTGCAGCTGCTCCTCACCAAACCCGTCTACACCACGGCGCCGTCGCTGCAGCACCTCTGTCGCCTCACCATCAACAGAACCGCTCGTCAAGTCCAGGACCTGCCCATTCCCAACCGCCTGAAGGACTACCTGACGGACTACGCCTACAATGTGTAGGTCTCTGAACACTTTGGCGGCACATCGGGGAGATCCGCCGGTTTTTACGAAAGGGAGGGGATTTCCTCTCTCGTTGCCACGGTAACGTTCCTCTGATTGGAAATTCCTGAGCAAGGTTTGGTCCAGATTGACTCAAAGGTTCTAATCAGGAGAACTGATGGATGGATCAGTTGCCGGAGCTTTAACTGAAACCCAACGGGTCAAATGTTGGACCAGCGGATCCAGCTTAGCCTGGAGCTCTGCAGAAATATTTATTTATGTGCTTTAAAATGTTCCTCTGATTCAAGATTGTCTAATCTTCTACCAGTGAGCTTTTTGGACTCATTGTCCTTGTTCTGAACAAATCAGGCTCAGGTAAAATAAAGACGATCTGGTAGAAACAGTCGGTGGGGGTCTCTATCCTCGACCTGCTGGCTGTCTGCTGTAGAATCATCAGGAGTTCTGGTCACCATCTCCACTTCAGATCCAACTCCAGCCTGACCCAACCAAAACTGGGCCTCAGCAGAACCAAACATCCCATTGATTTCTGTCCAGGACTTTATTGTAGAGGTCATGTAAATAAGCGTCTGAAAGCTGATTGGCCGCCAATTCCTGATCCTGCGTCCTTCAGTACGGGTCTGGATCGAACCTGAACATCCAACCTGAAGTTTTTCGTCCTTCTGATTTCAAATAGTTTAAGCTTTAAGTACAGAATGAGGATAAAAGATGAACAACATAATAAAACTAAAGGATGTAGAGATGTTGAAGTTCTGAAAATGATTTGGATCATTTTTATTCAACGCTTCGATTAAAAGACCGATCAGCTGTTTTCCTTTTGGTTTTCCTCTACATGTCCTTATTCGGGTCTGAATCGTTGCTTGTTTTAGAATTTCTCCGTTAAATTCTTAATTTGGACTTTTACCATTCAGATCTGTAATAAAAAAACATGATTAAAGTTCAGGTGATTTCTTCAAAAAAGGCGCTTCTCTTCTGGTTCTGTTCGGTTCATTTATTTTAAAAACCAAAGCAGAGTTTTATTTTGGAGAAAAACTTAAGTTTCTGAGTATTTAACAAATGATCTTGCCTGGTTGATTTTTACCTGGATGATCCCAGGAACTGTATACTGCTGTTTTGAAGGGAACCGACCCGCGGAATGTTGGAGGTAAAACCTTCAGCCAAAATCAACACCTTCCAGGTCCCCCGTAAACATCAACGATGAGTGTTTAAAGTCCAGGGGTTTTGTTTTTCAGACCTTCTTGTTTTTGTTTTCAAACCATTTTGGATCATGAATGAAGCTTTCTGATTGGCCGACTGATGACCATGACTCTTTGTCATTGACGTAAACAGAATTCATCTGATGAGTCGATGCCAACAGACGTCAGAGTAGTGGATTGAATGATGAGGTCAGTTTGACCTCTTCAGGCTTCTGTAGACTTTGAACCTGTAGTACTCTAAAGCAAAACATCACCATGGAGGCTGTTTGTTTCTGTTGGGTTTGTGCAGACAGAAGACCTTGTATGAAATCTAAATCCCATTAGCTTCATCTTAAACTTAAATCCATGTCATAGTCAGAAATGTTCAATTCAGTTTAGTTATATACACGTCATCTCAAGTTCCCCAAATCATCCAGTCAAATTGATTCAAAGTTTTCTATACAAGGAAAACTAGTTGATTGCATCGCCTCATTGACTCGAAGGCGATCCCTCAGACTAAGCATGCTTGTAGTGACAGTGGAGAGGAAAAACTCCCTTTTAACAGGAAGAAACTTCCAGCAGAACCAGGCTCAGTGTGAGCGGCCATCTGCTGAGGCCGACTGGGGTTCAAGGAGACAGAAGCAGAGACGCAAAAGGAAAGTGTAAAAGGAATCCAGGAAACACGAGCTCCAAGCCAGCTCCCATGCCAAAGGATCAAGATGACACATCCAATTAGTCACAGTCAGAGAAACAGGACTTCACTGAAAAACAGGCTGATTTCCAACATCTATAAACAAAGGTGTTGATATTTCTCTCCAGGATGGAGTCACAGCCAAACAGGAACAGACCAGATGAAGCTACTATGAGAAAATGCAAAGAGAGCAGAACGTTAGAGATTGAACTAACAGATTCTGCAGAGTGGGAGAATAGAGATAGAATGAAGCAGAATGATGAAAAAGGGGTCCCTATGTCCTCCAGCAGTCTAAGCCTATAGCAGCATAACTATAGAGATAGCTCAGGATAACCTGAGCCACTCTAACTATAAGCTTTATCAAAAAGGAAAGTTTTAAGCCTAGCCTTAAAAGTAGACAGGGTGTCTGCCTCACGGACTAAAACTGGTAGTTGGTTCCACAGGAGAGGAGCCTGATAACTAAAAGATCTGCCTCCCATTCTACTTTTAGAAATTCTAGGAACCACTAGTAAACCTGCAGATTGAGAGAGAAGTGCTCTGTTAGGAACATAAGGAACAATCAGATCTCTGATATAAGAAATGTTAAACATCTTTGTAGACCCGAAAATGTTTAAAAGACAAAAACAAAAAATGCGGGATTTATCAGAGGAGCCTTTTTGAGATCCTCGGGTAGGCTGGCTGCATAGAGCCTGAGTGGACCTCTATCTCTGCCTCTATTGTCACTGTGGAAGTAAGACCTGCAGTGGCGGCAACCCCAAAACCTGGTGGTGGACACTGCTAGTAAGGGATGCAGTCAAGCTGAGGGAGTCCTATCAACTGTGTTCCGCTGCAGGACCTTCAGAGGGCCAAGCTGTGCTTCACTAACACCGATTACAGTTGGAGCGGCGAGCTGCTGACCTATACTGAGGACATTGTTTAACGGTGGAGAAAATATTCTGTGGATCTCCCAATTGCCATTCCTTCCCTTGTGGAAGCAGATACAGGGTGCTTTTAGTTGGACTTGTTTATCACTCAAGCTGAAGTCACCAAGATGCCCAAAGAAATAAAGAGCAGCAGCCATTCAAAGTGGCCCTTCCCAGTTAAAAGCCAGCCGAATGGAAGCCAAATCCCCTCCAACTTCCAACCACTGGCCTTCTCATGGGAGTGCATATTTCTTTTACTCTGACTCCATCCTTCCACTGAATTACAAGGTCTGTCCTGGAGATGATGCTTCTCTTTAGATCTTAATGTCCACAAATCATGACAGAATATTTTAGATGTTTAAGAAGGAGTTGTAGGGGACCAGCCAAGGACCCATCAAGGAAAGTGGGGAAATTTTGAATGACAAGGCTTGAGGGGTGAATGAAATCTGCCATGAGTACCTTACATTTGTAGATGTTGTTGGGCTGTTGTTGTTGACATGCCTGTCTAGCATCAGGTGGAGATCCGGGACAGTGCCCATGGACTAGGAGACTGGCATGATGGTCCTCCTTCACAAGAGAAGTTGTGTTGTAACTATTAGGGGCATCACACTCCTCAGCCTCCAAGGGAAGGCCTACGCCAGGGTGCTGGAGAGGAGAGTCCGGCTGATTGTTGAACCTTGGCTTCAGGAGTGTGTTTTGTTTTTTTTTTGTCCCAGCACTGGGACACTGGACCAGTTCAACCAGCTTTACACCCTCTGCAGGCTGAGAGTTCATGGAAAATTACAAAATATCTCCACATTGTGGACCTGGAGAAGGCATTGACATAGACTCCTGGATATATATCAAAACATCAGGAGAAACTGCGGTTGCTTTCCGATTTAAGTCTGTTTTGTGGTTGCTATGACCCTAGTACCTGAGAATTCACATAGCCATTTTACTATGTCCCTCATGGTGCCCTGTAGGGGTGCTCTAGGAGTGCCTAGTTAGTGGCCTATTACCCCCTTTCCACTACCCTTGAAAAACCGTGCCGAGACTGGTCTGAGCTCAGTTACTGAGATAACTTATTAGGTGTAAATGGTAAGCAAACTGAACTGAACCGAGCTAGACACAACCAAACCGAGCTAACTGCAGACCAGTTCCAGAGGTGGGCTCGGCTTGGTTCTCTGATAACAAGAGCGCATGAGCAGAACGCGTCATCTCCGTCTGGCTGCACATCCCATTCCAGTAGTTGGCGGGAATGCTCCTCCGGAAGTTGCTTGCCAACCAACACAAAACAGAAGAACAACAACAACAACTATAAACAACAATCGAAATCTTCTCCATGCAACATTTTAAATAATGGCCATAAATTTATAAACACCGCCATTTTGATTTGCCTGATTCCGTCCTTCTTCGTCTTCTTCTTCTTGTGTTTTATGGCGGTTGGCAAACAACTTTTGGTGCAGTACCGCCACCAGCTGCTTGATTTCCTCCTTCAATACTGGCAGTAAGACCGCAGATCGTCACTAGGAGGCGAGGAGTCGAGGAACCGAGATAGCGTGATCTGTAAATGGTCGTCAGAACCGAGCTCGGCCCGGTTAACTGATCCGAGCTCGGACCAGTCTCGGCATGGATCGGTTTTTCAGGGGTAGTATAAATGGGGTATTTGACAAGGGGCCATCCGGTCTCTGTTCTGAGGAAGCAGGAGTTTGGGCCTCATTGCCGACATCAAGTCGTACCTGTTGCCAGTGCATGGTGGACCCCAGCAGGGCTGGCCTCCCTTACTGGTCCAGTCAGAACCTTTTTGGACAGGATTTCTAGATGTTGCCAAATGACCATGAAAAGGTGGCTTTTTCCCTTTAGGTTGGAGGAGGGTTCTCAAGTAAAGAATTTCAGATATCATGGGGTCCTGCTTATGATTAAGGGGAGAATGGAGTAGAGATAAATAGACGGATCGGAGCGTCTTTTGCTTTGATGCAAACACTACAAAGGTCTGTTGCGATGAAGAGAGAGGTGGCTGAAAAGACAACCCTTTCAATTTACTGGTTGGTCTACGTTTCTACCTTCACCTATTGTCATTATATCTGGATCATGACTGAAAGAACATCATGGATACAAGCAACTGAAATGAGCTTTTTTAGCAGGGTGGCTGGGCTCTCCCTTAGAGATAGGGTGATGCGTAGAGCTGAGGAAAGAATCAAGAGTCATTCTCATATCAAAGAGTTTTTTTTTAAGTAAGAAGGATCTACATTTGGATGGTTTGTAAAAACCAGCTGGTCTAAACGGAATTAAAACATTTTTATCTAGTAAATTTGTTAAATAGATGAATAATTGATGGCCTCATGGTCAGTTATACTTTAGATTTATTCTAAATCTTTAATGACTGACCAACATTCACTCAGAAAATGTCAAAGAAAATAATAGAAATGTCTAAGTTCAAACAATCAAAAACACGTTTTGTTTGGTCTTTTCTGATTGGCTACAGTGATGATGATCATAAGCTCCTCCCATGGTTCAGATCAGAGAGCTGATTGGTGAGTTTTTCTGGCTTTTAAACTCAGATTCTATGTTTAATACAAGTTTCTTTACTTCAGAGGAATAAAAAGTAAATTCTTTAAGTGTTTGGATGAGTTCTCTCATTTAAAATGGTATAATTCTTTGACAAAACACCCTGGAATCAGCTCTCCACCACTTTGAGAAGCTGCCAAAGTAAGGCTTCTCCCTGAAATTAATCTGATTCCTTGGATTTTTTCTGGATAATCTGCTCTGCAAATATTGAAACATCTAATCCACTCTCCCACATTTTACTGGAATCTTTCACAGCCTGGAAAACAGGAATTAATGCATTGAATAAAATAAAATCTGAAGGAGAAATTGTATGGTTTTCTTTTCCCTGTAGTGAAGAAACAGCTTAAGTGCACAATAAAAAGTAGAACTGCACTCATTTCCAGCTGATCTTACTGGACCGCCTGATTGGACTTCTCATCCCTGCAGGATAAATGATCATCACTTGGTTTTCACGGTCTGAAGGTTCTGGATCTGATATTATAGCACTCCAAGTCTGCATCTGTAACCATGGTAACCAACTCAACTAATTTAATCAAATACATATTTGAATTGATTTCCTCTCATCTGACCAGAATCAAGATTATACATGCGGGCTTAAATACATCTGTACAACCCCAGTAACTTCCAACATGGCTGTTCTTGACTTCTGTTAAATTATTGGTATATTACACTTAAAAAAAAAGTAGGATTGCTATTTGGGGCTTGGTGACGTTTATATTTTAATGAGGATTTTAGTTAAAATCTTCACATCTATCATCAAAAAAATAAATAATTTTTTTTTTTTCCTGAATTTTATTATTATTATTTTTTACATTCACTTAACTGATTTAACATTCCTTATTTATTTCTGGAAAAGACTACTAAACATTGGTTCCGCTTCCTTGTTTCTAGTCGAGCACAAAATCCAGGGCGGAGCTGGAGCGCTTGCCACTCCGGCACTGGTACTGGTACCGGACCGGGTGGGGTGGGTTTATTTCCCGGGTCCTGCTATTTGTTCTGATCTAACCCAAATAGAGGATTCTGGTTGCTAAATCGGGCCCAAAGGTTCTGATGGACCCGGCGCACAGAGCGGTGCTCCGGAGGTTCCGGGTGAAGCTGTCCGACCAGCTGCTGGTCACCGACACCATCCTTCCGTTTCTGTTCCAGGAGGGGATTCTGACAGAGGCCCAGGTCCAGCAGGTGGAGAGTCAGCCGACCGACAAGCAGAAGAACCTGAAGCTGTTGGACCTCCTGCCGAACCGCGGACCTCGTGCCTTTAGCGTCTTCTTGGACGCTCTGCGGGACTACAGCTGGATCCGGGAGCAGCTGGAACTGGAGCTGCGGAACACTTCCGGTGGAGGGTCACCAGGTGAGATCACACCCGGAGCTGAGAGCATGCCGCAGAACCGGGTCACCAGAATGGGGTCACCAGGCGACAGTTTTAAATCTAAATAACAGATTCAAGTCCCATTACTTAATTTAATAAATACAACAGAGTATTGGGCCAGGCTAGAGACATTTTTTTTCTTCTATTACATAAAATTAGAATACGACTTTATTCTCGTAATTTTACGACTTTATTCTCATAATTTTACGACTTTATTGTCGTAATGTTACGACTTTCTTCTCGTAATTTTACGACTTTATTCTCGTAATTTTATGACTTTATTGTCGTAATGTTACTTAATTCTCATAATTTTACGACTTTATTGTCGTAATGTTACGACTTTATTTCCGTAATCTTATTACTTTATTCCCATAATTTTACGACACCATCATCTTAATTTTAAGACTTTATTCTCGTGATTTTACGACTTTATTCTCATAATCTTACGACTTTATTCTTGTAATTTTATGACTTTATACTCTTAATCTTACGACTTTATTCTCGTAATCTTACGACTTTATTCTCGCATCTTACGACTTTATTCTTGTAATCTAACGACTTTATTTTTGTAATTTTATAACGATTCTTGTTGCGAAATTATTCTCGTAATATCTCGACTTTATTCTCGGAATCTTACGAATTTATTCTCGTAATTTTATGACTTTATACTCTTAATCTTACGACTTTATTCTCGTAATCTTACGACTTTATTCTCGTAATCTTACGACTTAATTCTTGTAATCTAACGACTTTATTTTTGTAATTTTATAACGATTCTTGTTG